CAAATATGACGTGTATTGTGAGGAAGATGCTTGGAATGTCGGTCTAGTTGGCTTGTGAAAGAATGTGATTTTTCCACAGGCAGAAAACACGCTCCCCAGAAGGAAAGCCTCAAAGCAAGGAGGCGGGCCTTTCCTCCTCATTGACCAGTGATCATGGCAACAAAGATCGGCGCCATTGCGTCCTTCCAAAAACCAAGCTTTGCCATACGGCCTGAGAATAATGATGATGGCAGCATGGAGTCTGAGCACGTGACTCACTCCTGCATGAAGAGGAGGGGCAGAAAGTGAAAGCAAAAAACAATGGCTCAAGTCATAAAGAAGAAGTGGGACATTTAAGAGAATGTCATGTATGGATGTCAAAGACTTGTCCACAATATGCAAAATGCACGGTCCTCTATGCATTTCAGAATTTGTTTTATTTTCGGTGTCTGCATGCTTATATGATATTTTTACCATGTGCATGTAGTGTGAACAGAGGCAGGAAGAGGGCACTGGACCCCTGGAGCTTGAGCTACCATGTACTTGTTGAGAATGGAACCCAGGTCCCCTACAGTGCTCTTAACTGTTGAGCAATCTCTCTAGAAGCCCGTCCAGTCTACATTCTAAAGCTAGGGGTGGTGCTAGAAATAGGGTGGGTTGCTAGGGAGGTCTCGCCAAGAGGATCACAACAAGGGTTACTTTGTCCATCTGCATTAAATCCAATAGCAAGAAACGGGGGAGGGGGTAATGATTACTTAAACAAGATAAAAACTGCCCTCTCGCTTGCCCTGGTGGTGAGGACAGGGGAGAAATGGCAGAATGACCAACCCAGCTGCCCAGGCCCAGAACCAGGGTTGTGACTTAGTCCACCCCAATATCCACCCCATCTGTGATCTGCTGGAGCATATGAAGGCACCGGTCCTGCCAACCAAAGCTGCAGGATCTCCACAACACAGGGCAGCAACGGGGTAATCAAGAAGAGTCCCAGTGAGGACCCAGCATCGATAGTGTAGCAGAAACCAGAGGCCTCGAGCCAGACCAATGACTCTTTGTCATGAACACTCACAAGTAAAGACACATGGGCTAAAGGGTCTACAGTGTGACTCGCTGCCTCACACTGCAGCTTCCATGACAGGATTTTTAAGTTTTCCTTTTTTTTCCTCTTAAACTTTGTTTCATTTGGGGGGGGGGGGGAGGGCTGGTTTTCAAGGTCTGAGGGCAGATGTGAAGGGTTGGGAAGATGAGCAAACGGGATTGAGATGTATGATGTGAAAGACAACCAGAGTGAATAAAAAGAAAGTTAAAAACCAAAAACTTCTCTCTGTCAGGGCTGACAGACATGTCATTTCACATCATGAGGGACCTGGGCTCCTTCCGTGTCTGTGAGCAACTCTTGTGTTCTAAACGGCTGATGGAGAGGCAGGCATTGAGTCAGCAGCACAGGTGACTGGGAAGGAGAGAAGAAACCGAGTTGTACACCGCCTCTCGAAGATGTCCGGGAAGTCCCTATCAGGCTCCCCTTTGGTTAGCCAAAACTTCAACACAGAGCGGTACCTACCCAGGGGATGGGCGGGAGACGCGGTTCTAGTACATAGACATTTAATAGTGTTGGGGTTCGGTTTTACTAAGGAAGATAAAAGAGTGGGTGTTGGACCAGGCTGTTAGCAACACCTGTGAAAGGTACCAAAAGAAGCAGCCCCAGGACAAAGAGTTTGACAGTACCTGGGGCGCTTGTCTTTTGCTTCAGACCCCTGCTTTCTTCCTCCATTCCAAAGTCTCTTTCTGGAGGGAGCCACTGGACTTTGATATCAGAGTCCTCTTCCGTATATTACACTGCAGGACCTCACCCCTAGCAGAACCAACTCCTGCATCATCTACTCCTGCGGCTCTGCCCTCTCCCCAGCAGACGTGGCTCCGCCCTCTCCCCAGCAGACGTGCCCTCCAAGACCAAGGATTTCCTCCTTTAGAACCCGGTTTAGATCCAAAAAAAAAAAAAAGAGTTCTCTTCATGCTTGGCTCTACATACCATGGCTGCTTCCATACTGGGCAGGAAAAGAAAATTGTGCAAGGGGGAATCTCGGTTCATTTATGGTGGTCACATATTTTGAAAGCTCAAGAAAACTTTGGAGGAAAAGCTAAAACCCAGTGTGAATACTTTGATCTGAGTTTAAGTAAATCTAATTCTGATTAATCCTTGAAGTTTGTTTTCGCTTCCCATTAAATAACACCCCTTTCTCCGAAAATCCAGAAATACATTCTAGTTGGGGGAAAGTAAGTCTTTAGTCAATTCTATCCAAGTCAAAAAGAAGAATGAGCCTGCGTGGTCGTGCGAGCCTGTAACGCTAGCACTCAGGAGGAAGAGGCTGGGTGATTGACATTCATGGCCAGCCTGGAGGACATAGAGAGTTCAATGTCTGATACATACCTGTGTTCCGCTGATCTTGTTCTTCTGTGACCTTTTTTCTTCCTCCCCCAAAACTAAACAATGGTCCTCTGAGCTAAGAAAAACAATGGATAAGTAAAACGGGGCAAAGACAGGTAATTGGGTCCTAGTGAAAGATGTAAGATAAGGCAAATGTGGGGGGGAAAAAAAAAACCAATGGATTCTAACAAAAGCTCGGCGCTTTGATCTAAGAGTCTGGATTCTGTAGACATGCAAAGCGTAACACAGGATTTGGGTAGGGCAACTGTGAGAGGAGAGAAGGGGAAAACATCTATGTGCATATACATCCAAGTCATAGAGGATGAGCCCCCAAGAGTGAGAGGTACCAACTCGAAGCCTGTAGGAAAGGAAGGTAGAGTGTATATACCCTGTCTCCAAGACAAAGATATTACAGCACATACCACCCTATGGCCATGGACCAGAAGTCATCCATGGTTTCAGGATCTGAGAATCTAGTCACACTCTAAAGAGACTTTAAAGGGGTTTTGAAATAACCTAATTTTTTTCTTTGTTTAGTTTTTTGAGACAGGGTTTCTCTATACTTTGGAACCTGTCCTGGAACTAGCTCTTGTAGACCAGAACTCAGAGATCTGCCTGCCTCTGCCTTCCGAGTGCTGGGATTAAACCACCACTGCCCGGCTTTGTTTTTTACCTGATAATAATGACTTTCTTAGAAATAACTGAAACTATGTTTCTGTTATGTGGTGGAACGGGATCATAATAAAGAGATTGAGTAATGGAAACTAGATTTTTCCCCTTGGATACCTGAGTTCATGGCTGACACCCAATTAAGGGGCTAGTTACCATTTCCTGTACGTGTATGTTGGTGCTCTGAGCAAGGGCTGAGGGTAAGCAAAGTTATCATTAGAATCTAGAATCTCTAGAAACTAGAACCTCTATGTTTTTAATTTAGTGAGTGTGTGTGTGTGTGTGTGTGTACGCACCTGCTTGCTTGCGTACCTATGTGTATATGCATGCATGCCATGCCATGCATGTGGAGGTCAGAGGACAACTTTTGGGAGTTCAGATCTCACCTTCCACTTGTAGAGATGGGGTTTCTATTCTTTCTACCATGTAACATACTCCAGGCTGGCAGGCCCAGAAACTTCCAGTCGATCCTCCTGCCTCTGCCTCTCACATAGCCATAGAGTGCTGGGATTGCGGATGCTTGCTGCTGTGTAGGGCTGTTTTCTTTCTGAACATGGATGGATCCCGGGTATCAAACTCCAGTCACTGGGCTTGCACGGCAACTGCTTTGCCCACCAGCCCATCCCCATGGGGCTCTCAGTTTTTATTTAGACTATTAATCTTCTTTTTTTTTTTTTCCTGGGCACAGCCGTCACCGAGAAAAATACTATTTGAAAAACAGATGGCAAGCCTTTGAAAACAAGAAAAAAGTTCCCAGATGAGGCCTGAAGAAGCAGTGAACTCAACAGAGATGCAAGAAACAAAGATGTGGAAGCCGGGGACTTGAAAAGAGGCGACATTAACCAAGTCTTAGACCCAAAAGAGCAGTCAGCAATCAGGTTCTACCATCCTGTCCGCTCTGGGGTGAGTTTGCTTCTACACGAAGTGCTTGTCAGGCACCCTCCTAAGAGACTGTGATAGACGGTTCCAGATGGTCAGTTATGAAGCAGGGAACCTCTCTCTATGCCTTCTCTCTTATCCATCTGGCAAACATTCCTGTCAGGTACCTTGGAGATGTATCATGCAACCCTTCTTTTTTTCAACTGTGAGCCCTTCCAAGGTGTCCCCCACTGTTATTGCTAATGACTCACAGGAGTCCTGTGTCTTCCTTGAGGGACAAAACCCTGTTAGTGTTTTCTCTTGCTTTTTACTTGCTACAGTCCAGAACAAGTCAGTTCTCCCTCTACAGTTCATCCCTCTGAGATTCTTGCTACAGCCCAGTACATTTCATGTGAATAGTGGAACAGACACCTTCTAATCTTCCTCTGAAATACTCGTTAAAACCATCGCAGTCTAGAAAATTATTTTTGTGGGGTTTTTTTTTGTCGCCTTTTAAATAAGATTTGATTTGAGAATCATCTGCTGATGACCCAGCGGACGTTCCTGAAGAGAAAGGTCATTCTCGAGGACATATTTTTAGTGTGTGATGTTCAGACTGAGCTTATCGCTCTTACCAAATAAAGATGTTTGTCAAGGTAGAGCAGCAAAGGGAAGTTGAGAGCTATGACAGCGTGAGGGTCGCTCACTACAGCCCCTTCACCTCCAGAGGCAGAGATGAGGGCTTGATGAGATGAGCCTCCCCCTGGGACAGGATCCACATGATTTTGAACTAGGTTTCAAAGCTTCGGTAGCTCAGAGCCCTGTTGACTACTCTCTGATGCCGAGTTACTTTTATTCTTTTTGACTTGCCTTGTGTGGAAATGATTTGTACTGTTCACTAATACTCCCTTTAGAGAACAAAGGAAGTTAGGGGTGATCATGAGGTTTGTTTTTGGACCAATGAGATGTGAGCAGAAGTGAAGTGTCTCACTTCTCCTTTATGAACCAGTATGTACTTCCTCAGGTTCCCTGTCTGCCGCCATGGCAACAGACCAGGTACCAGATAATAGAGGTTCCACTAGAGGAGGACAAGAAGGAGCTGAGGAAGGAGCATGTGGGGCAGAGGCCCAGATGGTTCACAAAGGACACATAGTCTGAGTGAAGAGTAATCCTTCCGAGTTTTAAGCTGCTGGGATTGGGGGTGGGGATTGGCGGGAGAGCTAGTGTGAAATTGCCCAGCCTTGCCCTCCCCTGCCAGGTAAGGCTGAGTGATGCCATCATTCCCATGATGCAAATCTGTGCATGAAGATGTCAGAGGGTCTAGAATACAGAAAATCGGAATGCAGCTCCATAAGACATTCCAAACTCCACACATCACAACCATTCTTTCTTCTTGGCTTATATGAGGGATGGGGGATGTAGCTTATAACAAAGAATGAGTATCTGGTGGCTTCTCATTCTTGGAACCATTCTGCAGGTAAGTGCTTGGTGGAAACCCCCTTAGCCCTACAGTGAAGCCCATAATGCATTAGATTATTTTAGGAAGGTCAATATGCATTATGACCTCAAATGCCTCATCCTGTAGTTACGTACCATTACCTGTGCAGCCATCTTTAGTTTTGTTGGAAGCTTTTTAATCTAGATCATTCTCAGCACTTTACAAGATTTCTAACTTTATAATCGCCACCGTGGCAAGTTGATGCCTTAAAAAAAAAAAAAAAAGGTCATATCACTGGACATTTCGAATTCACAGTGATAAAATGAACAGGTGAGCTTCGTGGACTAGCAAGAGAGCTTGTGTGTCCTTGGGTAAGCCATTTCACATCTCTGGGCCTCAGTTTCTGCCTCTGTGTGATGGGAATCAGAGTCGTCTTGTCCCCCCCCAAGAGTTATTATGGAAATAGGTCACATGCAAATAATGATCCTGCCTGGATCATTAAAAAAGCTAAGTAAGTCTTAATTATATCTGACCTGCAGAATACTTAGAAACCTAGAAAGGAAGTGAGACCCTTTTCTTCCCTAGAGGAGCAAACTCAGAAACTCTTTAGTCCAGCACATGGTGGTTTTCTGGGAAAGACTAGACTACCGCTGTGCCTCCCTCACAGAGGTCTGAACGCACGTGGAAACGCAAACAGATGGGTAGAGAAGTCAGCGTTGTTAACGGTTTCGGAGACTTTTCCAACTCCCCTGCTGAGGGCATCCATCCAGCTGGGAAAATCTTTACAGGGCTGGACTCGTTTATACTTTTTTCCATCTTAAACACTTGGACTTTTTCAGGTTTATAACAAAGCTCACAAAAATGCTAAAGCTTAAAGGAGAATTACGAACTGCCAAGGGACTGAAAAATGAGGTAAGGCTCCCAGCTCCTACACCTGTGAAGGTGAACCTTTGTGGAAAGGGATCTCTTGCAAGCTCCATGCCTCCAAATTCCAGGTATACCCATCATAAAATACCATGGACAGAGCAAGCCACGGACCCTAGATTTAAGGGCTCAGATTTAAGCCTCAGCAGTTCTGGGTCCACATCTAACAGCAGAGTAACCTGGACCGTGTTGCCCACTCTCTCTGAGCCTCCTTCACCTCGCCTTAGAAGTATATGTGATGAGCAGGATTCAGATGCTTGCTAGGTAGCTATCAGGCACTGGATGTAAAAGCACCTAATAGACATTTTCCATAGTTGCCAACATCTCTTTGTATCTAGTAGGATGTAGAAATGGAGCTTTCTGCTTTGTGTGGTAAAGAGTTGGCCAAAGTCTAGATATAAATTCCTTCATTGTTTCACAAAAGATGGAAAAGGTCCGTTGGGGATAAGTGTAGAGATGTCTCACATTGGCGTGGGCTCCTTCCAAGAAGTAAGCTGCTCCTAACCCAGACACTTAGGCTGCTTTCCTGCTGGGTTACTACTGCCATATGGGACCTGCTGCTAGTTCTGCTGGGCACAAGGGTCTGCTGGGAACTTGCTAGGCTATTTTTTTTTCAATTTAACGTATGTCTTTGGAACACCTTCAATGTGCCAGGCATTGTTCTAGGAGCTGGAGGTTCGAAAAGCAAATGCAATAGAGATCTCTGTTCTCCTGGAGCCTGCCCTCTATCAGACTAGCCCCTCAGGACATGATGGCCCAAAGTATGAAGGAATGCCTGAAGTGCCAACAAAAAGCAACTCACATTCCACAGGTAGCCAATCTCTGCCATATACCATGTGTATCTTAAAGTACCTACTTACTTGCAAGTGTACCAGCGTCACCGGATTGAACATGTCCATATTATTTGCTATGCGAGCAGAGCTATTTCTAAAATTTCTAAAACTTGAATGACTTTCCATTAATTCCCATCCAAAGTAATACAGAAGCCGCAATGTCTCTATAAAACGAAACTTGAGGCTCTGGTCAGCAATGTCCGTATTGGTGTTCGCGATTGCTGCTAATAAGTGTAAACTCAATTATCACAAGTAAAATGTAAAAATTCCTGAGGCAACATTAGTTTTTATGGCTTTGATTTTGTAAAGTATTATTACATTTATCTATTTATAGGGACAAGGTGGAGGTCAGAAAACAACCTCCACCATGTGGGTCTCTCATCACTCATTCAGTTCCCAAGGCTTGGGGGGGGGGGTCAGCGTCCTAACATGCTGAGACATCTCAGCCCCAACTTTCAGCTTCCTAAAGCATAACGCTCACCATAGATTGGTATTTGTCCAGGGGTTGTAGGATTGTGAGGGTTAAAGGTAGCTTTCCATTATTTGTAGACGATTTGTCTTCATCCTTAGACAATTTGTCACAGACGATTACCCGAGTCACCATTTGCCTCCAAAGCTAGCCTAGAAACTATAACCCCAGTTTTTCAAAGCCGCCTTGTTCGAGACCCCAAACCGCCAGAATGCCACAATTTTGAATCTTAGATATTCTTTTCTCTCAGGTGCTGCTGAGTCATAAGCTTAAGTCTGGCACAGCTCTACCTGAGAATGGACATGAATCTATTTGTCAGTCCTTTAAAACTCAGAGCCACACGCAGTCCACCTCTTAAGACGCATGTTTGAGGAGCTGTGTTAATTAACCAAAGGCTTGTTTAACCCGTGCAGAACTCACTCTCATTGAATAGCTTATTTTCCAGGCTCATGGAGGCAATTGCCGTATTGGCATTTACTATTTTGCCTGTGGGTTGGTAGCTCGGCCAATGTCATGTGCTTCTGGGCAGAGTAGCCAGGTTGGAACCTTACATAAGTAAAAGTGGGTATCTGAGTCCACGGTTTATGGAGATGAAACCTCTCCTAGCAACAGAGGTTTGTTATTTCAGGTGTCACTACCAACTTCAGATCCATGCTGGAATCAGATGGTAGCCAAGAATCAGCTCTGCAGCGCTTGGTCTCTCTCCCACTCCAGCACTGCTCACGGAGCCGTGATTGACGAAATGTCGGAATAAATCTATACCTAATGCATATTGATACGCTAAAGGCATCTGCCTGGAATTCATTCTCCAGAAAGGACCTGGGATTATAAATAGTTCACAGCTAATGTCTTGTACAAGATATTAGAAAATTACATCTACTAGGACCCCAGGAACGCTCGCCTTTCTGGAGTTTCTGAGCACAGCCACTTCTTACAACTAACTGCATTAAAAATGGGTGCTGGGGAGCATCTCATTGCTCTTCACGAGCCTTCGTTCCTGCTCTGATACCTCAAGACCTCCATGATTTGCTGTTTAGGAACGCATGAACAGTTACATTTTTATTTTAGAAGCAAATTTCATCTGACGTCTAGCAAAACATATTTGTTATTCAACTGGTTTAAGGAACTTCAAAGGAAGGTGACTTCTCCCAAGCCTCTTGTTTTATAAATGAAGACATTTCCTTAGAGATTCCAAGCTGGGTCCTAAATATCCAAACGACATGACGTTGAAGGCCCGCTCTGAATTCCTGGTGGTAGAGAGGAACGGGGTAACAGTAGGCTTTCTACCCAGAGGGTAGTCCAACCTGTAGAGAGCGGATGTCTTCACTAGCATGAGAAAGTGCATTAAGCTGTTAACTTGGGGAAGCTCAAGTTGAGTCTCATTGGCTTCGTAGTCTCAAACCCTCAGTGGATGTGGATCCATTCCAAGCAACCCTAGAACACGGTCCTCACCTTAAGACCAAAACCAGCATCAAGACGAAGGTGCAGAGCGTTCTCAGCCTCTCCTGTAGGGCAAGCGTGGTGCTGGCACCTAATTCACAGATGATAGAAATGATTTGGTAGCCAGAGCTGAGGGGACCCTGAGCATCCCCCTGAGTTTCCGCACCGTCCCTTGCAGCACAACCCTGAGAAAGGTTTCTATGGTGCTAGGGTGAAGCAGCTGCTCCCTCCTGGGATGGTGGATTTTGTTTTCAAGTTAAAAAAAAAAAAACAGTGTCTGCATGCCAATTTTTAAAACCACCTTACGCACACACATTCTCTTAAGAGAGTCCCTGGTAATTGTCTTAATGGTAATTGCGTGCTTGGGGCAGTTGACATCCAGTGTGATTTTTCTGAAAGTGAGGAGTGAGGGACAGGGGCTAGAAAGGGGGGAGGGAGGGTTTTTGAGATAATGAAATCCTTTTAATGACAAAGCCGAGCCGTTAACCTAATTAAACTGTAAAGTGATGGAGGGGGGAGGGGTCCTGCAGGTACTAAATGGAAATGAAGAAGTGAGTCAGTGGAGACGGAAGGCTTCCGGGAACCCTCTGGATTCCGGGTACCCTGACACTGTGGTTCCGGTTCCCACACTGTCCTCTGGCCCACCTTGGCTTTGCTCAGAGGTCTTCTAAATGGACCTGTCCACTAGCGCCTGATTTACTGTGTCCATCTCAGGCCTCTAGTTCCCACGGGAGTGTGTGTTGTGTAGTTCATGTATTCCAGAGGCCACGTCAGTGTGGTAGGGTGGCGGAACCCTGGCTCCGTGGGTGATCCTACTGGCCCTCCTCTAACTAGATGTGAGGCTTTGGAAAGGCAGCTCAGAAGTATGCTCCATTACTGTGTCCCCTCCCCTGAATTCCTCTGGAAACAGTGGCTTTAAGGCCACGGGGGTCACATCACCAGAGGGCAGGAAGTGCTTGGTCGCTCACATCCCATGGTGTAGTCTTTGGCCACGATATCACTGGTGTGGAGTTTGAGAACTCAATTCTCATTCCCGCCAATCAAGATCAACTCTGAGATGTCATTTTGCTCTGCATGCTCCTGTAGGACCAGGCTAACATCAGCCAAAGGCCTTCTGTGTAAATGTCCCCTTTAAGAGTTTCTTCCCCTTCTCTCTTTGGCTCCCCAGCCCCACCTCCCTAACCAGTTTGCTGGTTCACATAGGAGCTGGGAGCCTTTCTTTCCTTCTTCTTCCTTCTTTTCTTCTCTGCATGAAGAGCAGTGCAGGCATAGGAAGGAAGCTTTCAGAGGTGCCGAATGCTTCCTGCTAAATTCCTCTCACATTGCCACCACCCACGCTGGAAACCAGCATCGGGAGGGGGTAGAGAGCCCACCCACTCACCATCGCTTTGTACCCCAGCCCCTCCCCACCCAAGTCGCTTCTCTCTGCACACTTTGTTTTGATCCGAGTCACTACTCTCCATTCTGATCTAGCAACAATTAGCTAACCCTTCTAACTCCTAATCAAAGTCAGGGGATCTTACTGATCAGGCCAGGCCTTCCTCTTCTGCTCCCAATGGTAAGCCTTGTAAAGAAAAGCACAAGGTTAATAGGCGGGGGTGGGAGGGGGGCGGTGGTTAATGAATGAAGAGAAAGTTGAGAGACTTCAGAATCCCTCATCAGCTCCATCGCTGATTCACTGTGGTCCTGACAAGTTCATTTGACATCTCGATATGTTTATTTCATCAGTGGCAGAACCATTAATATTTATAGACAGTTCTCCGGGTGCTGGAATCATCCTAGGCCCTGACTTCCTCTCGAAAAAAAAACAGGGGAATTGTCTGATGCACCCACAGCAGCGTGGCGAAGATTAATTAATATAAATAAGTAATTGCCTTACTGACGCAGGGCACTCAGACACCTCACCACTGGATCCTGTGTAAATGTTACCCGAGATGAGTGATAACAGCAAAGACGCGGTGAGCGGATTTGCAGCAAATTCAGCTCCCCGTCAACCCATTAGGTGAAGGAAGCAAGTGTTTCCTCAGTTGTTCCTAACTGATGCTTTCATTTTTCTGACTGCCTAGGCCGGGGAGAGAGACAGAGAAGTAAACAACCTGAACAGCAAGCTCTTGAGCCTGCAGCTCGACATCAAGAATCTCCATGACGTCTGCAAGAGACAGGGGAAGACCTTACAAGAGAACCAGCTGTGCGTGGAGGAGGCCATGATGAACAAGAGCCACGTAAGGCACTGGGCAGCGGCTGCCTGCCGCGCCCCTCTTCACTACTGTAGCTTCTTTTGATGGGAACAAAAGAGAGTTCTCCTGTAGGTCACTCAGAGTACTGAATTACCAAGCAGTGAGGGAACTAAATACACCACACGTAGTCTGATACAAAAGAAAGTATTCCTAGCTTTGGGGCTTTTCAACCTAGCCATTTCCAGCATTGTCATGATATTGGATATTATCTTTCTCCTTATCTGGATTTAGCTCATCCTGAAAATACTAGATCACAGTGATATAAGGGTGGGTCTCAGGCAAACTTCCGAGTTAGCCACGGCAATGAATGCCACTGTGCCGGCTCTGAAGCACCTCTGCGTATCAGCTGATGGGTGTTCTTAAAGCCACAACTGTGCCTCGCTGCCTGGGAGCTGTTCTTCTGAAGGCTGGAATCCAGTCATTCCATCAGCAAGTGCCGGATAGTCCTCAGCCAATAACAAATAGTGAGAAGACTGATCAATTTACCACATCCCTTTCCCCTCAGTCCAAGTTAACTCAAGACTGGGGCCCTTTGCTCTCTCCCAGAATTCCTCCATCGGACTGAGCCCAGTGGATCGGTCCTAACAAGCTTAACCTGCTTCTCCCCATTCCTTGTCTCCATCCCTAACGTGGCTGAGTTTTCTCCAACCACCTCCCACATAAGCTACTTGGGGCCTGACTTCACAGCCCAAGCAAGTCAAGTGGTAACCCACACCCTATTCAAATGTGAAAAGACAGACCTTACGCCGTGCCAGTCTTCCTCAACACTGACTTTGAATTAACACTAACCTCTAGGTCTAGACAGAGCACCAACTAAGCAATTTCCCTTCAACTTGAGGCTCTCTTTCTCTTAGCAAACTCGAAACCTGAAGCATTTAAACCAGTCTCTAAATGGATTAACACAAATCTGGGGATCAAGGGGAATGGTTTCTGAGAATTCCGTACGGCGGCCCCTTTCTTCCTGACTGTAAACTAAGTCCCATGGAAACATAGGTACTGCTGCGCAGGCCCTTGTGGAACCCCTGGGTTAGACCCCCAGCTGCTGTGTAGGGAGCCACACATTGCTGGCCTCTCCTCATCGCATCTGTTAGCATGCTCCCAGGATGCACCACTTCACAACATAAACCACACCTTGTTCCCGGAAGCTGCCTGCAAACGCTACCAACCAAGCAATTCATCTTCTCTTCCTGACCTTGCTCAGGAAAATCACCAAAAAAAGTATTAAAAAAAAAAAAAAAAGCTGGTTTTCCTAAATCAATCTCAGGAAGACGATCATAATTTATTTCTTTCGAAATGTGAACATTGTAGGATATTTCCACCACAGCTACCCTGAGTTTACTTAGCGCCCCAGTCAGAGGAAGCCACAGGCTTATAAATGCTTCTGGCGACTTAGAGGGAGAAAGGCATTAAATCGCATTTTATTATTCTAATTGCCCAGAAGAAGGTCAATTCTTCTAACAGCTTGAGACAAGCTTTAAAACAGACTCTTTTTCCCTAGCACTTAGCGCAAAATCTAAATTGCATGCTATGCATACAAACACACAATTACATGGAGACCTACACCCATCTCCTCGGAGCCCCTTCAAGACCTGCCTTCCGCTGGAAATGCACTGTGTTGACAAAGGAGAAACACCAGGCTTTCTGGAATTTTGACTAATACTGATGAGGAGCTGGGGAAGTAGGCAGGAGGTTCTGATTCAGGACCATATTTAGGGGAGAAAGGTAAACTATTAGATCAGATGTTATGTGTAGCAAAAGAAATAGAAGGAGAGAGAGATGTGTGATGGAAGAGAAAGTGCATGGCCCTAGAAACCAAAGAACACAGACTCCAAAACCCAGGAGCAGAGCAGAGTTTGTGGCAAAGAGAACGAGGTTCTGGGACTGGAGAGAGGACTCAGCCATCAGGAGCAGACTCCCAGCGCTGGGCAGCTCACAACCTCTCGTAATTCCAGCTCCAGGGTGCTTGGCGCCCTCTTCTGACCTCCATGTGTACTGCACTCATCAGTACAAACCCACACTCAGACACACAAACACACATGATTTAAAATAAAATCTTTTAGAGTCGAGACAGAGTAACAGTCCGTGTAACAGCCCTAGCTGTCCTGGAACTAGCTCTTGTAAAGCAGGCTGGCCTCGAACTCACAGAGATCCTCCTGCCTCTGCCTCCTGAGCGCTGGGATTAAAGGCGTGCGCCACCACCTCCTGGCATAAAATCTTTTTCTTTTTTTAAGATAGGGAATTATTTTAAAGTAGGGTACCCAAGGCAGAGAATGATGGGTACTTCACCTTTGGGTACCAGCCTGCACTTGCCTGCCCCTGAGACCGAATTAGGCCCTTCAATTTATACCGTGTCCCCGCCTCACCCTAGTCAAAGTGACTCAAGGTGAAAGAAGAAAAAGAACAACGAAGATATTAAAATAACATGGGGATCCAAGACTGCACGCTGTAGTACATACCTGAAATTCCAGAACTAGGAAGCATGAGGCAGGGGGATTACCAGCCTAAAACCATCCTGGCCCATGCAGCAAAATCTAGGCTAGCCTGAGTTATACGGCAAGACACAGCTCTAAAACGAGTCAGAAGCTGGTCCGTAGGTAAAAGTGCCTGATACACAAGCATGAGGACCTGGGTTCGCATCCTACAAACTCATTAAAAAGTACTCAAATAAACACTGTGGCAGTGTATGCCAATAGCCTCAGCACAGGAGAGGTGGAGGCAAAATGACCCCCAGGCCTTGCTAACCAGCCAGTCAAGTTGAACAGGAAAGCTACACATTAGTGAAAGACTGTTTCTCCAAACATAACATGGACAACAATGGAGGAAGATGTCTGACATCAGCTTCTACCCTCCACACAAACGCACGCAGATATGCGTACTCAAAAACACACACACACAGAGAGAAGCTGAAACTGAATAAATATCAGAAAAAGGGGAGCCTTTTTAGCAATTCGCCCAGGTTTTATTTACTGGTGGGGGTATGGGGGAACATACCCAGGGACCGGAACTCATATCATTGAACTAATCTTGGAGATGGATGGAAAGCACCATTTTTAGTATAAGTAGATATAAAGAAAGTATTATGCTTTCAAGTAAAGGTAATTAGTTGACTATCTAAAGATTAGTAGAAGCCTGGCGAGCATTATCACACCATCATTTTGAACCATTGATAATGAAAGCAATTTTTAATGAATTTGCTAAATGCAATGTGAGGTTCTGAATTGGATGAGAGAACAGAAAATAAAAATTAATGGAAAACATACAAAATTCAAAAACTGTATCTAGTTTCATTCCTAATCATCTACCAGAGCTAATTTCTTAGTTTGGTTGCATAAGAAGGTAACATTGGGACAATATAAAGGAGTGTGCATGAGAAATTTGTCCTATTTTTGGCATTTGTCTAGGAATAGAGAATCATTGCGAAAGCAGAGGTCCAGGGAGAAAATTGTCTAAACCGCAAACATTCATTTTAATAAAATGCCTGTCACTGAATATGCAGCCCTGTACGCAACAAACGTGCGCGTACTTTCTAGATTACATAGGCAGTAACGTACAAGCCTCTTTAGCGATAAAGAAGGTTAACGCGGAGGTCCAAGGAAGTTTCTCACGCCACACCTCAAAGACGGGAAAGGAAGTTCATGGCAATGACTGGGGGAAAAAGACAGCGGAATGCTAAGTTCTTCAATGAATAAAGAAAACCATCAGGGGCATAGTTATCAGAACAGTGCCAACCTGTGACGGCAGAACACGCAAGCCTGCGGAGGGAAGAGATGGTTAAAAGGTATTTTGAAAAGCCAGCTTTAGGCAAATCAGCAGGGCCTGATGACATTCTTCTAAGAGTGCTTAAGGAATTGGCAGGTGTTATTACATAGCTGCTAGGGATTAGTTTTGAGAACTCAAGAGGATAAAGCAAGTCCCCGTAGACCGAAAAAGGGTGAATGAAGTGCTCATCTTTTTAAAAGGGGAGAAAGGACAATCCTGGTAATTATAGGCCTGTCAGCCTCACTTCAGTACCAGGGAAAATATAGAACTTAACATCAATCAATTAGCATCAACTTCAAAAGCACAAAGTATTGGGTGGAAACCAATGTGACTTTTCGAAAAAATGAATCATGCCAGGCCAATTAATTTCCTTCTGTGATCAAGTGGCCTCATAGGCAAGGAAGGAGCCATAGTTACCGTCTCTTTGACTTTCACTTCCAGTGGGGCTGAAAGGTTGGTGAAATATGGGAACAGCTTCCTATGGGCAGCAGAGATCGCCAGCTTTTCGTGTGGCTGAGACCAGGGCAGAAATCTAGCTGAGAAATCTGGTAGACCAGATGGTTTCCAGAGTCACATCCAACCCTGGACAGTTACCTAGAGAGCTAGTATTACTTCTTTAAAGGCAACTTGTTTGGGTTGTTTTTTTTTTCTTTCCAGATTTCAAATTAAAAGTCAAGGAAGAATATAATGTCTATATCTTCACTAGAAAAAAAAAAAAAAAAACTTTTGAAAAGAAGACCGGGACTGGGGAGGTGGCTCCGTGGGTGAGGGGCTTTCAGTGCAAACATGAGGATCTGGATGAAGCTCCCCAGCTGTGTTAACGCTGGCTGTGGTGGCACACATCTGTAAATCTAGCGCTGGAGCTTAGGAGGAAAGGGCAAATTCCTGGAGCAGCTCAGAGCTGGTCTAGACGAAATGCCAAGCTCCAGATTCAGTAAGAGACCCTGTCTCAAAATGTTAAGGAGAAAAGTAATTGAGGAAAGACACCTGATTTCAATCTCTGGCCCCACATGTATTCACATACACACACACACACACACACACACACACACACACACACAATAAAAAGTGTAATGGTGACTTCTGACTCTGCCCTTTGTCACAAATGTAAGCAAACTGTGAATTTAACCTATCATTTATTTTAAACCTATCCTTCAATTTAACTTATTATTATTGTTTTATATTTATCAAGAGTTAAGAAAACAAACTTTTAAATATATAAGAACAAATAAGCAGAAATTTAAT